TTCCACTGCTGTCTCATAGTCCAATGCATAAGAATAGTACAACTATCCATTCCACTCATTTTCTTCCTTTTGTGACAGGGTCTCTCAATCTTCTATGTAATCAAAAATGATCTTGAGTTTCCGGTCCTCCTGCTTCCACCTCTGCTGGGATTATGAGCCTGTGCCATTGTGCCTGGTTTCTGTGTTGCTGGGATAGAACCAAGGACTTCATGCTTGTTAGGTAGGCACTCTGTCAACTGAGCTATATCCACAGGCCCTATCCTTTCCACTCTTGGTGGGCTTTTGCATAATTCCCAGTTTAGGGATACTGAGAATAAAAATGCCTTTTTTTTCATAGCTATGGATCAAATTGCATGCTAGGAAAACACTACTATTGAGCTACATCTCTAATCCCTAAGCTGTGTGTGTGCACACACATGTATTTTAAGGATATATGTGTACAGTCAGGTATGGATGCACATGTGTGCATGTATGTGTATATGAAGGTTGGTGTGTGGTGTCTTCACCATTCTCCACCTTTTTTTTTTTTTTTTTTTTTTTTGAGGCAAGGTTTCTCACTGAACCTGGAGCTTACCAATTTAGGTAGATTGTCTGGGTAGCAAGTCCCCAGGATTCTCCTGCCTCTGCCTCTCCTATGCTAGGGTCTCAGGCATGCACTGCCATGACTGGTTTTTACCTGCATGCTAGGGTTTCAAACTCAGATCCTCATGTTTGTGAGGCAGGCAGTTTCCCAAATGAGCCATTCCTCAGCTCATTCAAATATTCTTCACATTAATATCACTGCTAAATGACAGAGAAGCACCTTCCCATCCAGCCTGTGCAAACGAATGTGGTGGTATTGTGTTCCCCAAAATATTGTGCACCCTAGTAAACTTATCTGGGGTCAGAGAACAGAAGAGCCACTAGATATAGAAGCCAGAAAATGGTGGCACACAAGCCTTTAATCCTATCACTTGGAAGGCAGAGATCCATCCAGATCTCTGTGAGTTTAAAGCCACACTGGAAACAGGCATGGTGACTCATGCCTTTAATCCCAAGAAGTGAGCCTTTAATCCCAGGAAGTGATGGCAGGAAGCAGAAAGGTATTTAAGGTGTGAGGACGAGGAGCTAGAACCTGGTTAAGATTTTAGGCTTTTGAGCAGCACAGTTCAGCTGAGATTCATTCTGGATGAGGACTCGGAGGCATCCAGTCTGAGGAAACAGGATCAGCTGAGGAATTGGCCAGGTGAGGTGGCTGTGGCTTGTTCTGCTTCTCTGATCTTCCAGCATTCGCCCCAATACCTGGCTCCAGGTTTGTTTTTATTAATAAAACGATCTAAGTTTTGTGCTACAAATGAGCATCCAGATTTATGCTGGGGGTCATCAAGGACTTCATGCACGCTCCAGAGAAGTGTCTAAAAAGGCCCAGCACACCCTTCTTCTAGTGAGCTGACACAGGTGTGTGCTTCCAATCCAACCACCAAGTCATCCTTTTGGGGGAGGGGTCTGATCCACTCAGACTCCTGAAGAAGGAATTTCACAAGTCTGGCTGACCTTGTGTACTGCCATCTAAATGTTGAGCAACAGAGAGTCAAAATTAAAGGCGTTCAGTTGGCCCCTGATCTCCTATTTCAGTTTCTTGAGGTATTCTGGAGGACAGCTGTTTTTTTACTCTTCTTTCACAAGAGCTAACATGAGGCCAAGCCTCCATCCCCCTCAGCGTTGACCTTGACTCTCACGAGCCTTTCTGTCTCCTCAGCTGAGGCGAGGACATTCAGCCAGTAGTTATGCTAGGCCTCTTGGACTCCAGCTTCCTGGGTTCCAACTGCTTGCTAGGCTTCCTGACAGGGGCCTCTGGGAGCCAACAATGCCCTGTGTGATGTCACTGGGTTCTGAGAGGCAGCCTGTGGTGGCATGTTAAACACTCTGCTACTGTAAGCAACCCAGCACGATCCAGCACCATCTAGAAAAAGTACATCTTTCCATCATTCACAGACCTGATTTCACTTATGACTCTGCTTGGCAAATGACTTGCTTTCGAAGCTGCCAGAGTGGTAACCTCATTGACAAGTAAGGAGAAAAGGGAACAAAGGGATAAGGATAAGGGATAAGGGAACAAAGGTACTCAGGAAGTCCGGGCACCTAGATCAAGGAGAGCAGTAATCTACTGGACCTGGGTTAACACAGACTCTAGGGAGCAGTACTGAGGTGAACTGATTACCACAGAGAAGGTGGTCACCAGTCTGGCTATGCCTCACTTCTGGAAGAAAGATACTGTGTAGGCTCCAGCTCCTAAAAAAAGGGAATCTGTGATATACTTGTGTGTGCTCTTAACATTTATTTTAAAAAATTAATGGAGGGAAAAGCCTTTAAAGTATGAGGTTATAGGTTCTGTCTATAGATCAGTATCAGGAAGATAAAGCATTATTATAAAGTATTATTATTATTTTCAGAAAAATTAGTCATGACATCAATCAAAAGCAAGGTCATGCTCTCCTGATTCTAAGATCTCACATTTATGTGGGGAGGGGATGTGTGCCCACATGTATCTTTACATTGATGTCTTTCCAATGACTTCATCGTATTTTTAAATTTTTTTACATTTGTTTTGAAGGGAGTTAGGGTTTATTTTAGCTTATCGTTTGAGGGCTAGAATCCTTCCTAAAGGCAAAAGCAGGACAGCACAGTGGCAGAGATGGAGGTGGCTGGGCATCTGGCGTTTGCAGCCAAGAAGTAGAATGAACTCCTATGTTCAAGCTTTTCCTCTCTTATTCACCTGGGCCCCGGCCAATGGAATGGTGTCCCTATATTTAGGGTGATGTTTCCACCTCAGTGAAGCTAATCTAGATAATCCCTCATGACAACACTGAGAGGCTTCTCTCTCCAGTGACCCTAGATCCTGTAGAGTTGACAACAGTAACCACTACAGGAAAGGGAACTCTGGCAAGGCCCCTTTAATAAAGTATGCTGATAGCTGGGTAGTGGGGGCTCGCGTCTTTAATCCCAGCACCTGAAGGCAGAGACAGGTGGATCTCTGTGAGTTCGCAACCAGCCTGGTCTACAGAGTGAGTTCCAGGACAGCCAGGGCTACACAAAGAAACCCTATCTGGAAAAAAATCAAGCCAAACCAAATAAATAAAAAATGAAAAAATAAGGTATGCTGATAAGGTCTGGGATGGATATTCTCATTTTATAATCGTTGGTTGGGGAAAGTTTCACTACATACACATACACGCACACATTAATTCTTTGACAGCTTCCTGTATGTACGTGATGGGTTTTAGTTAGTTTCCCTTCCAGTATCCTCTTCCATCCTCCCTTCCCTCCTGTTGAAACCCTCTTCTTTGTAACACGTTTCTGTCCTCCTCACAAATCTATCTTGTGTGTGTCACCCACTGAGTTTAATTATGCTGCCTGGATGAGCACGAGTGGAAGACTCTTCACTGGAGCATGGACAGCTAACTCCCTTGTTTCCTGAGACAAGGCTCACGGAGCCTGCAGCTCACTGACTGGCTAGACTGCCTTTCTCTCTCCAACTCTGGTATTGGTATTGCAAGTGCATGCTGCTGTACCCAGCCTTTTTCTTTCTTTTCTTTTTCTTTTAAGATTTATTTTATGTGTGTGATTGTTTTACCTGAATGTATGCATATTAATTATGCCCAGTGCCCTAAGAGGCCAGAAGAGGGCGTCAGATCCCCCTTGCACTGAAATTACAGATGACTGTGAGTCGTAGTGTGGGTACTGGGAACCAAATCCAGGTCCTCAGCAAGAGCAGCCAGTGCTCCTAGTGAGCCAGAGCTCCAGTCCTGATGCACCTGGGTTTTGGGCGGGGTGCCAGGGACTGAGCCTGAGGTTTCATGCTCACAAAGCGTGCACTTGACCTGTTAAGCCATCTCCCTAGCCCTAAGTGTGTGAGTGTGAGTGTGTGTGTGTTTATGAATTCAGGTGTACATGCCATGGCAGGTGTATGAAGGCCAGAAGGCAATGTGAGGTGTTAGTCCTTGCCTTCAACCTTGTTTGGTACAGTCTTTTTGTGTCCACCACTGCATATGCTGGCCTAGATGAGTTCCCCCATTTCTGCCTCCCCTCTTCGACAGGTGCACTGAGATTACATGTGTGCAGTACAGTGTCCAGCTTTACATGGGTTCTAAGGATTCAAACTCAGGCCTCATGCTTGAACAGCAAGTGCTCTGCACACTGAGCTAGCTCTTCAGCCTGTCTTACATTGTAAAGCTTTATGATTTTGTGGTATTTATACGTGTGTGTGTGTGTGTGTGTGTGTGTGTGTGTGTGTGTGTGTGTGTACATGTTTGTATTCTCCTTTTGCTTTTTCCTTGTTGGCATTTATAATTCACATGTATCCCCACTGAAGGAGGAGGAAGAAGAGGAGGAGGAGGAGGAGGAGGAGGAGGAGGAGGAGGAGGAGGAGGAGGAGGAAGAAGAAAAGAACATGGAAAGTGCTTTTCTGAGTTATTTGATATCTACAAACATGTTTATTCTGCTCTTGATTAGGTTTTGACTAGTTGTAAAATCTTGGATTGATATTATCTAATTATGAATTTGTAGGCATTCTCTAGAATCTTTCTGAATTTAGTGTTGCCACTGAGAAGTTTGATGTCATCCTCCATGAAGGTCAGCTCTCCTGAGACATTCCCATCTGCTGCACCGGCCAATCTGTGTTCTTTGTTGATGTGATCATCTCCTCCCCTCCACTTCTTCCACAGCTTTCTGGAATTCCTTGCTAGTTAGATGCTACTGTAAGAATGTCCAATCCCAGGGCTGGAGAGATGGCTCAGAGGTTAAGAGCATAGACTATTCTTTCAGAGGCCCTGCGTTCAATTCCCAGCAACCACATGGCAGCTCATAACATCTGTAATGAGATCTGATGCCCTCTTCTGGCCTGCAGGCAAACATGCAGACAGAAAATTGTGTACATAATAAACAAATAAATCTTTAAAAAAAAAAAAAAAGCATGTCCGTCCTGAGATTGTCCCTTACTCTGTCATTTTGCTGTACTTTCCAGAAAACCCCTTCTATTTTTCAATCTTCTGCTGATTTTGCTAACTGTGACAGGCACAATTTAAATTTCAACTGTCCCTTTTTCTTCTCTGTTGTCCTTTTTCTAATTCTTTGAGTGTGCTTTCCTTGATTTCTCAGTTTCAGTATTTTGCAAGTTTCAGGTTGTTCCTCTTTTGTGGCTCTCCACACATTTTTTTTTTTCCCTTTCTGAAAGTTTTCCTCAAATGCCTTGGTCAATCCTTGGCATATGCATCAGTCCACATGGGCAAGCAGAACAAAACATCACAGAGTGTCTGGCTAACACTAGGAATTTATTTTCTCACAGCTAGAAGTACAAGGTCGAGGCATTGGCAGGGTGGGCTCCACGTAAAGCCTCTCTTCTTGACTCACAAATGGCCCCCTTCTTGACCAACCCTCACATGTCCTTTTCTCTGCACATGTTTCCTGGCTATCTTCTAAGGTCACCAGTCCTACAGGATCAGGACCCATCCTATGAGCTCATTTCATCTTAATCACTTCCCTAAAGGAGGTTAAAATTAAAAGATTAAAAATGACCTCTTTCACAAAAATGGTCACATTGTGGTTAATGATTTGACATGATTTTGGAGAGTTGTGATTCAGTCCATATCAGCATTCCATTCCAATTGAAAAGCAGGACAAAAAAGCTATTGGACAGTCTGAGTATTGGAGCAGGTATCTGCAGAGGAACTAGCATTTGTGGAAAGCTCTACAACAGTGGTTTTCAACCTATGGGTCACAGCCCCTTTGGGGGTTGCATATCAGATGTCCTGCATACATTACAATTCATGAACAGTAATTCAATTATAGTTATGTGTTATGTGTTAAGTGTTATGGAAGGTTGAGAACCACTGACCTAGAGCCTCAGCATATTAGTCTTCCCCTGGGCCCATCTCCTTTTAGAGCAGCTCTCCCATGGGCTGTGCCTCTGTAGTTCATTGATCCTGCCTGGACTTTCCTGTGCACTGGGGTGAAAGCACCCCTCTTCTGGTTACAAGTGCATGGACTTGCCAAGGCCCTGCTCACTCCTACCCTGAGCTGCTCAAGCAGCCGCTCAACCTGCTTCTGCTTCATAGCCCTCGCACTTCCAACTCAGGCTGTGATCGCCTGTCTCCTTCCAAAATGTGAGCTCACGGCCAATAACCTTGTCTTGAAAGTACTGTGAAAATCTCATCTGCCTTGGCTCTGGATGTGGTTCAGTTGGTAGACTTTTTCTAGCATGCTTTTTCTAGTACTGGGTTTGGTCCCCAGTACCATATAAAACCAGGCATGGTAACCCATTCCTGTAATCTCAGCACTCAGAAGAATCAAAAGCTCAAGGTCATCCTTGGCTACAAAGTGAGTTTGAGGCCAACCTGAACTACATGAGACCCTGTCTAAAACAAAACAAAAATAACAAAAAACCTTACTTGTATTTATGCCCCCAACCTACAATAACAAAAGTGTTTAGCTTTGTTTTTATTCACAGTTGAGTCAAAAAGACGATACAGACACACGCATGGGAGACCACTGCCATTGAAAGAAATCTCTTAATATACAGTAGTATCATAAATGCTCCATGTGCATCACCAGGTTCTGCTGATCTGAGTCTGCCACATGTGCTGCAGGACTTCTCAGAAGCCAGCACTAAGAATGCAGCAGGTTCTGCATTTTCCTCTTGGCAGGCTGGAGCTGCTGGACACTGTGTACATCATCTGCTCACAGGTCTCCCCAAGCATCTACTGCATATGAGTGACCATAAGCAGGAACACTATTCATCATGTTCTGCAAAACACACTATGCCCTGCTTCTCTCTCTCTCTCTCTCTCTCTCTCTCTCTCTCTCTCTCTCTCTCTCTCTCTCTCTCTCTCTCTCTCTGTCCGTCCACATGGGAGGTGCACATGCATGTGAGTACTCATGTGTATTGAGGCCTGAGGTCAACGCTGGGTATCATTCCCTGACACTTTCCTCGTTTATCCTTTGAAACAGGGCCTCTCACTGAACCTGAAGTTCAGTAATTTGTCTAGGCTAGCTGGCCAGTGAGCTTCAGGGTCGCTTCCTGCTCCTCACTATGGGTTCAAAATCTGCTGCTGACAGCTCTAGCTGATTGATTTCACCATTGGACAGCCTCATTTTAGCAATTCTGCTGAGAAAAGCTTTAGTTGTATTTGACTGGGAATGTCAATGTCACTATGGAGACATTCAGGATAGGCGTTCATATCCATCCATCACTGGTTAGAACCCAAACCACTCAGTCCATTTATGGTCCCCTCAGCAGTGGACCACCGTGCTCATGTCTCTCTTCAGCATACAACATGGCATGCTTTTACATTTCAGTCTGACTGGTGTCTGGTCAGAGTTTTAGAGAGCTACACTATCTCTCCAAGTGGGCTGGGCAGGCATAAGAGATGGATAATGCTCTTTTGTGTTATCTCCTTCTCTCCTTGAGCTCCCCACTCAGTGGTAGGGCAAAGAAGACTTTAAATTATGCTGCCTGTTTCATACTGACCCATCCGGATGCTGATCCTATGGATATATGTGGGAAGAATTTTTGTGACAGCAAAGAGATAAACTTTATATATTCTAAAAGTATCAAAGTGATTGTTTTTAAAACACTGAAAACAGAATTTTAGCCACATGGATGATTCAAACACCACTAAGTTATCTAATACAGCTTCTCTTACAATGATCTTGTTTAGGAAAATTGGAATTTAAAAATGTGCACTCCACAATGAAGACTATCATAGCTCAGTGTTTATTATGTGGATCCATGGCCTTCGGGCTCTGGACTGCTCTGTTAATGGCATATTTTCACTACAATCAAGAGAATAAACCACTGAAGAAAACCCAGGAACCTATCAAGGCTAGCTCACTTGGAAAAAATGTGTACCAGCAAAACCATGACTTAAAGGAAACTCCCAAACAGAAAGTTATTCATGGTAAGTCTGATGCAGATGAACCTGGAAAACCAAAATTATGCCCAGGAAGAAACTGATTTGTTTCTATTAACTACTTTCAACATATCACAGATTCAGTATTTGGAAGAGTAAAAGAACGCCCTCCTTAGGCCAATATTTCATATATGGATATATTATACACAGAATTCAACGGGGTATATACACATGCATGTACCACCTCAATTTCTCATTTTTATGTAATCTTCTATATTGGCCTCAGGCAGCTTTCTGTTTTCCACAGAATGAATTTCAACAGGTGCAACAGAAATGTCACCACTGGTCCTTCCCCATCTATCAACCTCAAGGGCAGCTGTTGCCTGAACCCACCAGTGTCTTCCACATCCTCTGCACGCTGCCGTACGGCCGTTCTGGCATTGCATAGTTTAACATATCTGGAGATAGTCTATGTCAATATCCTCTTGGAATTTGCTCTCCCCCAACACTCACTGTTGGAAGATTTGTGTTTATGTTTACACAGGTGATGGTCTGGTTTAAGAAAATAAGCCCCCAAAGATGAAGAGAACAATAAAGAGATAATAAATGGCTTACAAGTCAGATCTGTGTCCTGGGCTCTGCATTGCTCTGGGGCACTGCTGACAGCATCATGGAAGAGTAAGACATAGAATGGCCCCTCTGCAGCATCCCTACCCTGATCTCACACTATACCCTGCCCCCTGCTTTCTCTCTTCTCCTTCTGTAGCTCCTGCAATACAGAGTTAGCTCTTCAGTTATGTCATGGGTCCCTGAGAATCTTTTTCTTTCTAGTTCATCTCTCTCTTGTTCACACCACACCAATCCGATTGACCTGACCTCAAGTTCCCAGGCTCTGCCCTCTGTGGAGTTTAACCACTACTTAGAGTTGCCCTGAGTCTACTTAGATTACTGTAATCACCATTCCTATCATTTCCTTTCCATCCCTTAGCTGAGCTCTCCCTTTTCTGTCTGCTTCTGATGCTGCTGCAGTGATGCTCACTCAGTGTTAGCATCTATCGGTTGTCCTTTTGAATTCCATTTGGGACTTTCTCAGTTTTTGGTATGACATTTTCTATTTCATCCTGGACATTAAAAATATTGTGAGACACTTTAGCATGATTTCAAGCAGGTCTCCTTCACTGAGGTGTAGTACAACTAGAAGCAAAAATGGATTGTGGTGTCTGCCTGTCACTCACAAAAGCCAGTGAGCAAAGACAGAGATTGAATCTTAATACTTCACTTTATTCAGGCACCAGCAATCTGAGAGAGAGAGAGGATTAGTAGTCTAAAGGTCTGTCTTCCATTACATCTCTACCCAACAAATCATGGAGGTGGGCAGGGACAGAGGCCGCCAGTCACTTGGAGCTCAGTCGTGCCATTCTGGTTAAGGTGGGCCACACTTTTGAATTAGTTTTACACCTGTTTCTCACTGTCACCTCTTTCATTCTTCCCTCATTCTGTGGATGTCTGGGCTCAAGCAAACAATGGATGTAGTTAGTTGCTCTAGTATCAATCTTGTACTCCTCCAGGGGCATCTGGCCTAGCACAGAGTTACCTCAGAACAAACAGACCATAAACAGTGTGTCAGCACTGATTCCCTTCTGCAATATTGAGTGTAAGTGTGCCATTCAGTATAGAACGTGAGAATGCTCCTATTGGTCCTTTCTGTCCTCTATTAGAAGGAACAGGTAAGGATGTGGTTCTATCATCCTTCGTGCCAGAAGCCCCTCCCTGCCCCATCTGCCCAAAGCACTATGTGCACACCATCTTGTGGTAGACAGGTGATGTAAGAATTCAGGTCACTTTTGTTTCCACTTAAATGGATCGGTGACTTTCATACCCTTGTCACTGGGCACAGTGTCAGCCAGTCCTGTCTCTCCTCCCCTCCTTGTGCCCCACTGACACCAGGGTTAAAAGGCTCTAGTCCTCCAGTCCTCACTGCCACCAGGTTCAAAGAAATCAACTATTGTGGTTCACACTGTTTAGCTCCCCACTGGGTCTCATGAGAGAGAAGGGGGAAACAGACTGCCACCTGGCTCTCCCCTGCCCCATCGTGCTGTCACGGGGGCTGGAGGCTCAACAATCCACTGACAACACATCAGGGAGACTCAGCATCACCAGTTTCCACCAGGTGAGGCCCTAAACTCCTCCCCGGCACTCTCCCTGCACCACCCAGGAGGGTGATAGAGACCACTGCATGCTGCTGACCAGTGGAAGATTCGGCGCTGCTTGGCCGCACGGACACCACCAGGTGGGGCAAGAGGGATCCTGCTGTTTGCTTCCTCAGGGTGAGGGTGAGGTGAAAGGTCTCCAGGCAAGTTTTGCAAAGTTTTGGGTTTTTTTTTTCTTCTTCTTGTTTTTTTTTTTTTTTTTTTTTTTGTTTTTTTTTTTTTTTGTTTTTCGAGACAGGGTTTCTCTGTGTAGCTTTGCGCCTTTCCTGGGACTCACTTGGTAGCCCAGGCTGGCCTCGTACTCACAGAGATCCACCTGCCTCTGCCTCCCGAATGCTGGGATTAAAGGCGTGCGCCACCACCGCCCGGCCTTCTTCTTGTTTTTAGGCTACCCGTTTCCCCAGCTCTTTCTTGGGTTAGAGAGAATGAGTTTATTCTCTTGGAAGTTTGCTAATGATGTTTTATCTGTGACTACTTGTGTTTCACCCCTGTGTGGCATTTATGGAGTGTGTGTGTGTGTGTGTGTGTGTGTGTGTGTGTGTGTGTGTGTGTGACCATTCCTTGGACTGACTACAAAGGAAAAAGTAAGCAAGTTGAACACACTGCCCTCTGCTCACTGACTGCAGATGCCATGTGACTGACTGCTTTAGGTCCTTGCCACCACAGCGCCTTCCCCTCTATAAGGGACTTCTCCTAGAACCACGTGTCAAAATAACCCCTCACTTCAACAACAGGAAAAGTGATTGCTGCAGCACGATTAGGGCCAAGTGTCAACACTTAACTATGAGGTCTGCTTTGGTTATGCAAATGCTCTGGGCTTTCACCTTTAACTTTGTCGCCTGGGGGTAGTTTAGAGCCCAAGAAAAGGACTGTTTCAGAAAAATTCAAGACAGCGCTGCTCTGTTACTTGCATCAGTGTCACAGCAGTAGTAAGCTTTTACTTACGTGACTCAAATGACCTTTTCTTGCAGATAAGATTGACTTTTTAGAGCCAGAATTTCACCAAGAATTTGAGCAATATGGACTTAATGCTGTTATCAGTAGAAGACTGGGCATCGTGAGAGAGGTGCCAGATTCCAGGGATAAAATGTATGTTCTTCCACTAACCAAACTTTAATTTTAGCATATTAGAAATCTTGTAGTACAAATTCCTTAGGACTTTAAGTCAGGCAATGTCAAGATCCTGATGTTTATGGTGTGAAGACCACCTTCCCCCCTTGGCAGAATGTGTTGTAGAGGTTTTTAAGAGTTAAATAAATCCCTTGAAAGTTTTTACTCAGTCACAAGTGAGGGCTTCTGGCCAAAGCATTAATTCCCAATAGAAAATGCTTTGGATATCTGCTTATCTTTTTCTTCATAGTCTGCTTCATTTTCATTGTGTCTGCAGTTATCTGTGTTTATCGTGGTAAAATGCATATAAAATTGCTGTTAACGATTTTCTAGTGGACAATTCAGCGACATTATGCACAGCCACAGTGGTGAGCAACCACAGCACCATCGGAACTGAAACTTTGCACCCCTCCTCTCCCCCAATCAACTTAGAGCGTCTATGAATTTGACCACCCCAGAGGCCTGTCTATGAATTTGACCACCCCAGAGGCCTCACAACAGTCAGAGCATACAGAATTTGTCTTTTGGAGGACTAACTTATTTCACTTAGCACAATGTTCTTGAGGTTCATCTGTTCAGTAACATGTTTATTGATGCCTAAATATCATTTATGTTCCAATCATTTCCTGGAAAAGATTTTCAATTCCCATTAGCTAAAAGAAAAATATTCAAGGTAAGGAAAAGATACACTCTCTAGTAATGCCACATTCCAGGAAATTGGGGAGTGGACCATATTGCTATATTGTGTGATATGTGTACAGCACAAGCATGTGAAGCCACAAACACCACTCATGACTGTGCACACTCAAGAGATGGAGTGCTTGCACATAATGACACAGTGTAATTGAGTCATATTAAAGAAAACAAACTTGGCCTGGGGATGTAGTTCAGTTGGAGTTTTTGCCTGGCACACACAAGGCCCAGAGTTTGCTCCCAGCACCACATAAACCAAGAGTGGTGGTGAATGCCTGTAATCTCAGTGTTTAGAGGTGGAGGCAGGAGAATCACAGAAGTTCCAGTTTATCCTCAGCTACATGTCTCCCTTCCCTCCATACAAAACAAAAAGAATGTGAATGAATTTAAATTTCCTTAAACTATAAACATGGTATTAATTTAATTTGAAGGACAATCTTTAAATCATTAAGATTTAACTACCACAAAGATCAATATTTTTTTTTTTGGTTTTTCGAGACAACCAAAGATCAATATTTTAATTCTAGTAAATTGTGAATTTCTCCCCATGCTATTATTTTCCCCTAAATCTTATCTAAAAATAGTATAACTGCCTTGGTTTCTTTCTTCCATCACATAATTAGGAAATATTTTTTTTTCTTCCATCACATAGTTAGGAAAAACAAAGTTGAAATTGGCTGCTTAAAACAAGATCTGAACAATGACAAAGGCCAGGGGCATATCAATATGGGTAGGAGAAATCAAAATTGGCCTTATCCCTAGATAAGAGCTACAGGCAGCTAACAACTACCGAGAGTGGGAGAACGAGTCTTCCCAAGAGATATGCACCCCAAATGGTTATCCAACCCCAGTGGTCAGTTTTGTACACACACACACACACACACACACACACACACACACACACACACACACACACACTAAGACACTAAACAGCCCAGCAGGGCAGTGGTGGCGCACGCCTTTAATCCCAGCACTTGGGAGGCAGAGCCGGGCGGATCTCTGTGAGTTCAAGGCCAGCCTGGTCTACAGAGCAAGATCCAGGATAGCCAGGACTACCCAGAGAAACCTTGTCTCAGGAAAAAAAAAAAAAAAAAAAAACAAAGACAGAAAAACCCGACACTAAACAGATCGAGCAGGCTTGGCCATTATCGGAGAAATCATTAGTTGGAACTTCTAGCTCAACTTGCCTTGTTTTTTGTTTTTTTAAAGATGTATTTATGTTTATTTTATTTTATGTGTATGGGTGTTTTTGTCTGCATGTATGTATGTATGTATGTATGTATGTATGTATGTATGTATGTATATATACCATTTTTGTGCCTGGTGCTCCCTGGGGCTAGAAGACAACATCAGATTCCCTGGAACTGAAGTTATAGACAGCTGTGACTGAATGCTGGGATTCAAACCCAGTCCTCTGGAAGTCCAGCCAGTACTCTTAACCAGTGAGCCAACTGTCCAGCTTTGCCTTAATTTCTTTAATCTGAATTTTTAATTAAAAAGTAAAATTTGTATATCTGTGGTACAGAGCACATTTTGTGTACTATGGAATGGCTAAATCAGGCAAATTAGAACATGTATAATACCATATGCTTATCATTTTCACATACTGAAAACATTTAAGATCCATTTTCTCAGCAGTTTTCAGGGTCACTGTACCACTGTGCTGTGTAATGGGGCTCCTACCTTGGCTCTTCTGTGTTGCCTCCAAGCATTTCCCACCTTCCTTCCTCACCCCTGGCCTACCCTTCATCAACCACCTTGCTCTTCTACATACCCAAGTCAGCAAGTTGAACTAGAAGTTTCAACTAATGGAAAGATGTCATTTGTCCAATAATGGCCAAGCATCATCTCCAGCAGCAATCTAATGAATCTGTTTAGTGTTTTAGCATGTGTGTGCATATACATATATATATATGCACATATATACGCACATACATATATACATACGTACATATACACACATATATTTACACATACATGACTGACCACTGGGGTTGGATAACCATTTGGCGTGCATGTCTCTGGGGAAGACAGATTTGCCCTCCTGTGTCATTTTTACCCACTGGGGTTGGTAACCATTTGGCGTGCATGCCTCTGGGGAAGACTGATTTGCCCTCCTGTGTCATTTTCACTCCAGCTTCTCTAGGTCTATCTTTATTGTGTGAAAAACTGAATTTCCTATCTTTAAAATTTGTATTTATTTATTTAATTGTATGTGTATGCAGGTATACATATGTACTACCACAGGCTGGTGTGGAGGTCAAAGGTTCTCTACTCTTCCTATGTGGAGCCCAGGGATCAACTCAGATCATCATGTCCCTTTACCAATGAACCATCTTACCTGCCCCTGACTTTTTGAGGCTAAATAGCATTCCATTGTGCGTATACAGTTTACTCATTCATCTGCTGATGAGCATTTTGGTTGATATCATATCTCGACTACTAGGAATAATGCTTCAATAGTGTGAGGGGCAGACATCTCTTATATAGGCTGGGTTACACCTGAGTGTATATCTAAGAGCAGAGTTGTTGGGTTATATTGTCCTCCACAATGGCTGTGCTAATCTTCCTCCACATTCTCATTATTTTGATAGTGACAATTTTAATAGATGTGAGTTGGAATCTCATCAATCTCATCATAGTTTTAATTTGCATTTCCCTAATAGTGGCATTGAATATTTTATTGTATTGTATATTTTTCAATATACCCATTGACTACTTGCTTTCTTTTCTTTTCTTTTCTTTTTTTGTTTTTTTAAAGACAGTGTCTTATGTATTCCTGGCTTGCTCTGAGCTCACTATGTAGCCAAGAAAGTTTTCTAACTTCTGATTCTCCTGCCTCCATTTTTCAAGTGTGTACCACTATGCCCAGTTTTATGTGGTCCTGAGATCTAACCAGGACTAGATGAGTACTCTACTAACTGAGTTAGTTACAGTACTCTGCTAATTTTTGACTCTAGTGATAAACAATCTGGCTCTCAATCCCTAGTCAGATGCATGTTTGCAAGTATTTTTGCTTATTCTGAAGGTTATCTACTCATCCTGTTGGTGATTTCTTTTGCCGTGCAGGTTTTCAGTGTGATGTAATCGCCATGTTTATTCTGGCTTCTATTGCTCTGCTCTTGGGTCATATCCATTTGGGTGCAGATGGTGTGCTTACCTACCACTCCAGATTTTGCCGGGTTGCCACCTCACATGTTTTCTGTTTCTTTGAGCATGGTGCCAGCTTCCATTCAGCAGCTGAACTTTCTGTAGTACCACCCACTGGGCTAATGATGTTAGTCAGGATAAACACTCTCCTTTCAAGATGCCTTCAATCCATGTTTATCCTGCAGGTACACACACCGAAAATTCCTGTTGACTCATCCCCCCAGTCCCTCCTGCCCTGGAATCGTCCAGGAAATATTTCCCCTTTCACATAATTGCAGTGGGAATGATGACTTTATTCCTTTGACCTCACTTGTCTGGCCCTAATTAATTACCTCCAGAGTGGCCACTGAGCCAATATGAGCCAATGAATTTTTGTTGATGGGAAAAACAAAGTCCTTCTGATTTATCCTTGGATGCGGGTGTGGTTTTACACACCTTTAATCTTAGCACCTAAGAAGCAGTGGCAGGCAGATCTCTGCAAGTTCAAGGCCAACCTGATCAACATAGCAAGTTCCAAGCCAACCAAGGCTATACGGTTAGATATGTCTAAAAAAACAAAACAAAACCCCAAAGATAGGCTGATACCGACATTTCCCACTCTGTGGCTTTAAGGAAGTAGAAACAAGCCAGGTTACAGGTTGCAAGTTGAGCCTTGTATAGGATAGTTAATACATGCCAGACACTGTTCTGAACTGAGATCACTACCTATGAACTTACTAAATCTTAACCTTTGAGGTAGGCTGGAGATACTGTTAATTATCACCCCAATGCTATTGCCAGAGCGATGGAGAGCGGTCCAGATGGCCCTCAGCCTTCTGATCCCATTATTTCCTTGAGATTCCAGCTGTCTTCCTATAACTAGGTCATGAGAGGTATTTGGGTCACCTCACAATACACTCCCTTCTATTTTTGCTGAGGCTAACTCCAAACAATGATATACTAGATCTGAACTTCTGTTTTTCACTTGTTTAACACAAAAGTAGTATGACCTTTTGCCAGTACTTGAAGGACATGTAGTCCACCAATTCCACTATAATTCTTGGCCACAGCAGGTGTCACAAATATAATAATAAAACTCAGAAACCAAAGCAAAGAATACAGCACAGTAAATTTACTTTGAAGTTACCTTTCCATGAATTTAGACCACCATTTTTAGAATAGACACCAATATATGGATATAATCTGTGTTTTATATTATCTTTAAAGTAGACCTAAGATGGAATGTCAAGAAATAGAAATTATAAAGGGGAAAATAATTCCAAAGTGTGAGAAGAGCGAAAGAATTTAAATGGGGCTAGCAAGGTGGCATCTGCACACCTGAGCTTGATCCCCACATGAGACTGAAGCCCACATGGCGGAAGGAGAGAGCTGGCTGTAAGTTGTACTACCATCTCACATGCCCACATGCACAAAACAAAATAAATAAAGGTTAAAAAAAATTAAAGAATTTAAGGACAGACTGGAGAGATGGCTTACTACTCTTCCAGAGGACCAGAGCTTGATTTCCAGTACTCACATCAGGCAGCTCACAACTGCCTCTAACTCCAGCTCTGGGGTATCTGATGCCCTCTTCTTGCCTCCACAGGCACTTGTATGCACATGTGTATGCACACATAGCTGCAGACATATACATATACATGAAAATAATTTTTAAAAATTTAAGGACATTTTGCTTGTTAATTTTTTTCCCCACAGCTGAGGACTGAACCCAGGGCCTTGCTAGGCAAATGCTCTACCACTCAGCTAAATCCCCAACCATAATTTTTGTATGGTTTTTTTAATTTTTTAATGTACTGTCATTGTATTGTCCTAATGTTCACTTAACTAAAGAAAGGAAAAGTAAGGATTGGCATTTGAAGAAGGCCCTAGAACACTTGAGGTTTTTTTGATGACTAACTCCCTCCCTATTTTCTTGCAGATGTCATCAGAAACGCTACCCATTCACTCTACCCACTGCCAGCATCATCATATGCTTTCATAATGAAGAATTTCACACCTTGCTTAGAACAGTGTCTAGTGTGATGAATCTCACTCCACACCACTTCCTTGAAGAAATAATTTTGGTTGATGACATGAGTGAAATTGGTGAGACAAACATTGACTGTCTATTTGGAAGGTGGCATTTTTCTCTAGTGATACTTGAGATTTGTTTTTGTATTGGGGAAATGGTCTCATGTAGTCCAGGCTAGCCCCATCTTGAACTCCTGACCCTCTTGCCTCTACCTTCAATGTGCTGAATTCATGAGCATGCTTCATCATGCATGACTTGGTACTTGTATGTTTTACACAGAGAATGTTTCTGGTAGCTGTTGAGGGAAATGCCAAAAATGATGCACTCATTGCTTATGGTGGGAAAGATTGACTCAGACCCTTTCATGATGGGTCCATGAAGTCAGCACAAGGGGTTCCCTTGACTTTAGGGATCACTTCAGAAAGAAGTGCCATCTAAATGGAAGAGGATAGATGGATCCAGATCCTGTCATGATGGGTCCATGAAGTCAGCACAGAGGCTTGCCTTGTCTTTAGGGATCACTTCAGAAAGAAGTGCCATCTAAATGGAAGAGGACAGGTAGGCTAGGGTTGCTCAAATGGCCAGGAAGAAAATGTTTTAGATAAAAGAAATGGCACTTTAAAGGCATAAAATGAGACAAAACAGGGTGAGCATGAAACACTTCTGCATTTTATGAAGTTTATGTATGAGTGCAGAGTTGGAAGGATTCAGGGAAAGGCATAAAGCTGGAGTTATTTAAAAGGGACTACTCATGAAAGGCACTTTTGGAATTTTATCTCAAGAACACGGGGAGCTATGTCTATGTGGCTCAGCTGGTAGAGTATTTTGCCTAACATATATAAAGCCTTGGATTCAATTCACAACACTGCATAAACTGGGTGTGGTGGTGTGCACCTCCAATCCCAGCACCAAGGAAGTGGAAGTAGAGGATTAGGAGATCAAGGTTATCCTTGGCTACAAAGTAAGTTCAAAGCCAATCTGAGCTATAGGAGAACATTCTGAACAGCTACCCTGTTCAAAAATAAGTAATGAATGAATGGATGAATATGGAGAGCTTAATAGGGAGATGACCTAAGCTAGGTACTTCACAAGAAAGAACTCAACCAACTGCAAGTAAGTAACAATTCCTCTATGCTTACTTTTTAGGATAGAATAAGGATACTAGAACAAAGTCTAGTTACCCATGCTTAGACTTTGAAATTGATTGTCTGTTTACAACTGAGTGTCAACCTTAGGCAAGCTAGGAGTGCCTGGATAATGATGTCAATACTGGATAGATTTCAGGCCTGCAAAGTCACCCAACCCACTAAGAAGCTAGTCTATGATGAACTTGAAAGACAAAAAGGTATGCTGAGAAGAAAAGATATTCCAGGAAGGCCACCCTGTGGAAGTGACACTAGGTTGCTCTGGGTATAACCCAAGCTAATGTTACTGTGTTTGGAAGTTATATGATATGGGCCAGATGCCTATCACATAACATTTCCATAGCAATCATCACCAACTGAGTCTTGTACATGGGATGGGTGCTTCTTCCTTCCCTCATACTACCTTATCTGCTCAGTAGAGCTGAGCTGTCTATAGCTTGCTGGGCAGGAAATCTCAGTAAAGCTGGGTGCAGGGTGCAGATGTGCCTACTGGCCAGAAGAATTCTGCTTTCTTACTCAGAAGTTCACAAATCCCACAGTCAGCATGCAGTTCCAGGAGTGATCATGTCTGCCAGCCTTTCAGCATAGCACCAAGAGTCTAGAGACATGGTGGTCTCTTGTCAGTTTGACAAGGTGTCTTGAGCAACAAACACTGATCTGAGACCAGGGTGCCAACAAGACCAGGTTGTTGGTAACAGCATTCTTTCTGTTTTTTAGATTGATGCCCTTTTGCTCCATCCTCTTTGGATCAAGTGAGCTCTTGGGTCTCTTCATATAAGTCCCATTCATGGGGATTCCATTCTCATGATCTAATACTTCCCAAATCCCTACTCCTAGATGATATCACATTGGTGGTTTTGACATATGCATTTGGAGCTGGTGAACACAAACATTCAGTCCATGATCTCTAATGACCTGCTTATATATACATCTTGTATTTTAGTTCCCTTAAAAAGAGACCAAGAGGGTCACTACTGGTGTCCAGGACCCCAAGTGTGCTGCCAGAACAGTCATCTCTTCCATTCCTTGACATCAGCCTTGGACTCATACAGAACTGCAAACACAGGACACGGGGTGCTATGTTCCAATGGAACTCAAGATCAATATATTCCTTACACTAATTTAGAATGACTTCATCATGAATTGTATAACAAATTTTGAACTGAAACCTGTCTTTCCTGAACATGGCCACAGACAATGCCAATGGGATTCCTTAGCTTGAGGGAATGGGTGCAGGTGGCTCTTGAACTTGCTTGGTTTGATAATTCACCTTCAAGCCACTACAAAATTAGAAGCAAAATTAATCACAGTACAACTTGTGTAGTTAGTAGTAAAATCAGGTTATACCAAAAGCCTTATAACCTACACTTTTTCTACTAAATTTTAATAAGGATGTGGTAAAGCAGAGACATGCCACTAAAAGCACAAAAATTATACAGTTTGATTATAAACCACTTTTCTTGTGGATATGAGGCTAACCAGGGCCACATTAAAATCTGTGCAGTAGTGGGCTTTTAGAAATTGGTCATAATGACAATGTTTGAATTACTATAGTTGCAGTTTATAAATTGTCAAATGTCAAATATTTTTTCAGATGATTTGAAAGAAATATTGGACTATCAGCTGGAACTTTTTCGTGGGAAGATTAAATTAATAAGAAACAAAAAGAGAGAGGGTTTCATTAGATCAAGGATGATTGGTGCCTCCCGCGCTTCAGGTATGAATATTATTCTAGGCCAGGAGCCGGTGTGTTAATGACTTTTCTTGTGCTGTCACTAAGTAGGAAAGGGTTCATGTGGCTCACAGTATTAAGGTACACAGCCTGACTTTGCAAGACAGATATGGTAGACTTCAGTTGATCCCAGGGACCTGAAGCCATAAAAAGCAAAACTTAGAATAATGGGAATGACTGTCTAAAAACAGCAAACTCCTGTCCTCCTGTTATAGGTGTGGACTAGACTCCAGATGGCACCCTCTGAGATTTCCAGGTTCTCGTGTCTTGAAACAAAGAAGCAGAGGTCAAATTTAGGCATCATTTCTCAGGTGCCATCACTGTTGTTTTGTTTGTTTGAGGCAGGTTCTCTCACCGACCTGGAACTCATCAAGTAGACTGGACTAGCTGGCTAGCATACCTCAGGGATTTACCTGTTTCCAACTCCCCAGTGCTAGTATATAGCGGCAATTAACAAGGCAATTCCACGCATTTTATCTGGTAATTAAAAGACATTTATTTCAGGGGTAACTTACAACCAATAAAGGGTCGTTACAGGATCTGGGAGAGATGAGGTGTAGTCCAGTGTGGTTCTCTGGAGATCTCTGACTTGGTCTGCAATCCAGTATCCAGGATCATGAGGAGCCAAGAGAGTAAGCATGTATGCATCTTGGGTCTTAAGGGGTCTCCTCTTGGCATGTCCCAGGGGCAGGTCACAGGTAGGTGTAGCAGTTACTTGCTGTCACCTAGGGGTAGTGCTTCGAGGTCAAAGCTGGAATAGCTACCCACTAGACTAGGATTATAAGAACAGGTCACCAAGCCCAGATAGTTTAGTTTTGTTTTGTTTTCTTAATGTAGGTAACAGGGATTAAACTTAGGTTCTCATGCTTGTAAGCACGTTAATGATTGAGCCAGCTCTCCAGTCTCCTGAAAGGATCTTTGAGAATGAAAGCTCTTCTCAGGTCTATCGACTCTGCTAGAGTTTTCTGTAAGCCATCCTCGAACCTGCAGCTCTCTAGCCTCCTAAGAACACTCACAGTACATGGGGGTCTCACCTTTTGGACAAAATAAAACATGCATTTCTCATTTCCCTCAATGCAACTGAGGAACCAGCATACAGTAAATAGTCAATGAATACTCATTGCATCCAGCTTGCATTTGGACTGAATATCTTTACCCTAGGGGACCTTGCTGGCTAGTTTTATGTCAACTTGACAACACAAGAGTCATCAGAGAGAAGGGAGCCTCAACTGAGAAAATGCCTCCATAAGGGCTGTAGACAAGCCTGTAGAGCATTTTCTTAATTAGTGATTGATGTAGGAGAGCTTAGTCCATTGAGAATGGCACGACCTCTAGGTTGGTGGTCATGGGTTCTATAAGAGCAGGCTAAGCAAGCCATGAGAAACAAGCCGGTATAAGCAGTACTCCTGCATCCAGGTTCTTGATCTGTTTGAATCCTGTCCTGACTTCCTTCAATGATGGACTATGATGTGGAAGTGTAAGCCAAATAAATCCTTTCCTCCCCAAGTTGCTTTTGGTCATGATATTTTATTACAGCAACAGTAACCCTAAGACAAGAACCAACGTTAGTCTGCTCCTGCCTTCACAGGGGACATCCTGGTATTCTTGGATAGCCACTGTGAGGTGAATAAAGTCTGGCTGGAGCCCTTACTGCATGCCATTGCTAAGGACCACAAAACGGTGGTGTGCCCTCTGATGGATGTCATTGATGAAACAACACTGAATTATATAGCGGCACCCATTGTAAGGGGAGCTTTTGACTGGAACCTGGGCTTTAGATGGGACAGTGTTTTCTCATATGAGCTGGACGGCCCAGAAGAACGAAGTAAACCCATCCGGTGAGATTCCTCTTGTTTGGGGGATTGTAAGTGAAAAGTCAAAGTTTTGTTTTGCCACTCTTTCCTTTCTTCTTTTCCTTCCTTCCTTCCTTTCTTCTTGTTTCTTTTTCTCTTTCCTTTCTCCCTTCCTTTCTTAGCAGGGTTTCTATATGTGGCCCTGGCTGTTAGTATCAATCCACATGAATCTATTTAATGGGTAATAGGGATTTATTAAGATATAAATTCAGCCAGACATGGCGGCACACGCCTTTAATCCCAGCATGTGCCACTATGCCCAGCTTGCCACTTGTTTCTTAAAGTACTGAGTTTGTTTCAAATGACACTGTGCCTTAGGCCACACCACATTCAAGAAGCTACCATGGCTGGTGAATGCTGCCTGATTTCCAATGCCCACTGTGTGTGTGTGTGTGTGTGTGTGTGTGTGTGTGTGTGTGTGTGTGTGTGTGTGTGTACGTGTGTGTGTGTGCGTGTGTGTGTGTACGTGTGCGTGTGTGTGTGTGTGCGTGTGTGCGTGTGCGTGTGTGTGCGTGTGTGTGTTTGCATGAAGTGTGCTCATAAGTCTCTGTGTGCATGTGGAGGTCAATCTCAGGTGTTGTTCCTTGGAGCTGTCTACCTTGGTTTTTGAGACAGAGTCTCTTACTGACCTAGAACTCACTAAGTATGCTAGAATTGCTGGCCAACAGGCCCCAGGGACCTGCCTCTTTCCATACCCTCAACACTAAGATTTCCAGTGTATGCCACCATGCTCAGATTTTTTAATGGGTTCTGGGGATCAAACTCCTGTCCTCACGACTGCAAACCAGGCACTTCACTGACTGAGCATCTTAGCCCTCAGCATCTTTCTTTCAGCTGCAGGAAGAAGCTGTCTGGTGATCAACGAGCAAACTGGCATGGTTAGGAAGTGTGGACATCTTTGCCCCAGTGTTTCCAGGTGTGACTTCCTGGGTTGAGAGGAACACAACTCTCCTAGTTCATTTGTCTTGGAAACTGTGTTTGTAAATGTGAACATAAGGTGACCACATCTGGAGAGGCTTCCTGAAGGCTAGGTCTACATTTCCTGGAAACTCTGATATGAGATGCTCCCCAGACCAGGCAGCTGCATTTTCTAACCCTGTAGTGGAACTGTGTGGCCTGACAGTCATGTTTACACTTCCTTACTTGTGAGTTCTAGAGGGCAATACTCTGAAGTGACGAGAATCAAATGCCTATAAAGTTACCCACTTCATGTGGATTGCCATCTCCTGGGCTTCTTCTGGTATTACTGGACATGACACCATGTCAAGGAACACACCCAGAAGCTTGCTGTCCCCTGCTCTGCTTCTCAGACACCATCCCTGCAGACCTTTGTTCTCTCCCTTCCCCTCCTCATTGTCCTCCTCTAGCTGACAGCCCAGTGGCTACATCCCACCACACTGCAGCCATACATCTGCGGGGCTTTGGTACCAAACCATTTCCACCCTCTGTGTGCCTTGTTCCTTCCACGGAGCTGATGTACTCTGTCAAAATTGAGCGATAGAAACCAGTGTGCCGTGCCTCATCCATGGACCACAGTCCATGACACCACAGTCCTGTTCTCATTCACCCTCTTCTCCCTAACCTTGATTGTATTCCTTAGCCTATACTGTCTGGCCACACCTGGACATGCTACTCTCGAGAAGCAGTCTTGACTCATAACTCAAGGATGGAATTAAAACAACTAAGGAAGTAGAAGGGATAGTTGTGAAATTACATAGTAGTTTACGGAAGACCCCTCTGGAATATTATGCAGTTTTGTATGTGATCACATAGCAACAGCCATCTTCCAGCACTCCACTGTCCGCTTCCAACCCCAGAGATTGCCCAGCCTCAGGAAGCCTGTTCTCAACAAAAACTTTACATTACACCTGCCTATTCCCTGGCTGTCCCCACAGATCAGGTTTTCTCAGCCTGTGATTGGGACTACAAAGGACAGATCACCTGCTGGCTCCCTTTCCCACCCATTCAGATGATTGTGAAGCTAGACTAGATTCTCTGCTCTTGAATATGCACAGAGCAGTGAAGAGGGCAGGCAGGTAGCAGCATGGTATCACACAATGCTACTGCAAGGGGGCGCTTAGATGCTCCGAGCTTGCTGGCTGTCTATAATCATGGTCTTCTGGTGGACCAGTGTGCCAGAGAGGACTCCTGCCACCCAGTGCTCCAATGGGGACATGCATCACCCAGTGCAGCAGACAAGAATGGTCCTATGAGAATACAGACAAGCTGCTTTCTCAATAAAAACAAACACAGCTTTACTTTCTTTTCTTTTCTAATTGGAAATAGGTTCTTTTCTCACACAATACATCCTGACTACAGTTTCCCCTCTCTCCACTCCTCCCAACTCTTCCCTTCCCCCAAGATCCACTCCCCTCACCTCTGTTTCCTCTTCAGAAAAGGCCACCAAGAGATGACAGCCAAACAGGACAAAACAAGACGCAATAAGACAAGGCAAAAGCCCTAATTATCAAGGCTGGACAAAGTAACCCCACAGGGGAAAAAAAGAGTCCCAAGAGCAGGCAAATGCAAAGGACCTTGTGCAGCCTCATGCAGCCCAGTGCTTGCCGCTTCAGTCTCTGTGCACCCGTGTGCCCTGCTTAATTGATTCAGTGAGCCATGGTCTCCGGGTGTCTTCTATTCCCTCTGACTCCTACAGTCTTTTCTCCCCCTCCTCTTTGAGGTTCCCTGATCAGAGACCTCCAATTTAGACTCTCTCTCTGCATCATGTCTGGCTGTGGATCTCTGTACCCACACACATCTGCTGCCTGAACAAGTCTCTCTGATGACGACTGGACTAGGCACTGATCTACGAGTACAGCAGAATATCACTAGGAGTCTTTTTTTTTTTCCGGTTGTGTTTGGTTCTACTTTAGGACTCTGGGCTCCCTCTCGTGGCATGGACTTCAAGCTAAACCAGATATTTGTTTGGCTTCTCCCACAAGTTCTGGGCCACCATTGTCCCAGCACATCTTGCAGGCAGGACAGATTGGTTGAGGGTTTTGTAGCTGGTTGGTGTCTAGGTTTCTCTTTCCGTAGCCTGCAGAGTACCTTCTCACATCAAAGAGACTAGAACACAGGGGTGAAGGCTCCATGCAGGCACTAGCTCAACCTCTCTACACTCAACTAGCTGTGTGGATGTTGTCCTTGGCAATGTCCCCCACCCCCACGGTCAGATTTTAGAAAGCAACCTGTAGTTGGAGTTTTCTCCAGACCCTCCTGGGCCCGCAGCTGCTCAGATCTAAATAAACACACAGAGACATATTACTTATAAACTGTATGGCCCTGGCAGGCTTCTTGCTATCTAGTCCTTATATCTTAAATTAACTCATTTCTATTAATCTATAAGTTGTCACGTGGCTTACCAGTACTTTTACATCATGCTTCCTCTGTGTCTGGCTGGTGACTCCTGACTCAGCCTGTTCCCAGAATTTTTTTCTCTGTTTGTCCCACCTATATTATACTTTCTGCTTGGCTACTGGCCAATCAGCATTTTATTTATCAATCAATCAGAGCAACACATTCACAGCATACAGAAAGACATCCCCAGTACTCCCCCCCCCCCATTTTTTTTAGGTTTTAACTTTAACATAGTAAAATTACATATAACAAAACAATTATCAAGCAAGAATTACAGTTACAATATCTAGTCTATTTATAATATCTAGTCTATTTGTATTTGACAAAATTAAAGAAGATATCCTATCCTATATTTGTGAGTCTAAGGTTTCACATCTAACTTATCTTTTGTCATAACTAAGGAAATTATAACTAGTCTAAGGATATGTTGCTTTGGAAAGGAGGCTCTGCTTTTGTTTCCACAGAAAGCAAGAGGCTATGGATTTGTTTCCGATTAAGATACATCAGGTTTGACCAGCCAAGACCCCCTGAAAGGTCTCCGATGACACCATGGCCCAGATGATCCAACATCCAGAACAGTTTCAAGGCAACTGACACAGACGATACACCCTCACAGACTACTCCATAATCCTAAAATTTTCTTTGTGTCCCCATAAGAATACAGTGCCCTCATCCAGAAGAAAGTAGTATGAGAATCTATGCCCAAATTCCAAAAATATTGCTTATGAATGTTTATTTTTATTTAAAACGGGTTGATTATAAATGCAATCTCTTTCTAAAGAAGAAAAGGGGATAGTATAGATATCATAAGATAAAAGGGTAGATTAACGAACCTACTTGTAAAGAGCAACAACTTGTTTAAAAATATTTTACATTGCTATGGATTTTAGTTTATTGATACAAGTTTAAACTTAATTTTGTTACACTGTATATATATTTCTACTCTCATTGGAGGTATTATGTTTATGTAACTCATTTAGATTGTAATGGATAATTTGAAAATATAGATTAATAATTAGTCTTCTATGATAGTCAAACTTAGAGTCATGTTAAGTTTTCTAGGTATACATAGATATAATTCAATTAGGTAGGTGATCTTCAAACACTTCAAAGACCTACAGAATACAGCATTTAAAATGTTTTAAAAATTTAGACTTCCTGGACAGTGAGACATGTCTGCTCCTGGCAGCACCGATTTACTTCAGAGAGGAGGATGGGCATTGAAGACACTCTATATGGAATTTATCTTCTTCTTGGCAAAAATAGCCATTTGGGCAAGAAACTGTTCTTGCCTGGAGTGCTTGACTGACTGGAAATGCAGGACCCATAGGAAGGTGACCACTAAACTTTGCTTGGCAAAATGGTCCTTCAGGTTCCTGCTTCGCAGAGGAAACTGCCAGACATTCTACAGGACACAGAGGAACTTTGAATGACTGTCCAGGCTGCCAGCTGTCTCTGTCTACTTTCTTAAGACTCCTGAAAGTTGCTTGCATCCTTCTCCCATTTCTCAGGTAATATTATATCCTTCTGAGGTCTCTGATGTAATCAAAGACTAGTTAGTTATAATTTCCTTAGTTATGATAAAAGATAAGTTAGATATGAAACTTTAGACTCACAAATATAGGATA